AAACGTCTGCAGAAGCCAGACAGGTAGTGGGAATGAATTAACTAGGCACATTAAGACAAGACTGGTGGGGACGCTTGTCAGCTAGAGAGCAAACCTCTTCTCCGAAGACCGTACAGTCCGTGGCGAGAGACCCAACTGGTCTGCAAATTGTTTACGACACTTTTTCTAGCCAACACGCGTAACTACCCTTTCTGTAGCACGTGTGACTGATCAGGCTGTGTTTTAATGATTTAGATGCCAAACTTTACACCATACAATCAAAATAGCTTTGAGCTGGGAGGAGCTTAGCACGTTTTGCTGTCCTGATCCTCACTCTTAGTGCCCGGGTGCCAATCAAAGCACAGTGCAGGTGTCTCTGACCAAAAAACACTAGTTAAGTTTCATAATTTCCCCAAGTATGGTGTCCCTGGGCCACTCTCTGCCTCATAAACATTTGCTCCCAGGAACGAGCATAAAGGACTCTAGTTAAAAGCAATGTGAGGGGCGCCTGGGTGGCGCAGTCAGTTAAGCGTCCGACTTCAGCTCAGGTCACGATCTCGCGGTCCGTGAGTTCGAGCCCCGTGTCGGGCTCTGGGCTGATGGCTCAGAGCCTGGAGCCTGTTTCCGATTCTGTGTCTCCCTCTCTCTCTCTGCCCCTCCCCCGTTCATGCTCTGTCTCTCTCTGTCCCAAAAAAAATAAACGTTGAAAAAAAAAAAAAGCTATGTGAAATCCAACAAGAGGGGTTCAAACCTCAGCAAAGCCATTTTTTTTTAACCACCTCCAATCCCAAGACCCTGGAGGTCCCCAAGACACACCTCTCTCACCTTTTTCTTCAAGTTGTTCTCCAATCCAACTGACAAGCTGCGACTCAGCTCTTGGGCCAAGCCATCTAACATCTCATGAGGAGGTGGGGAGGAGGAGGGCAGATACAGCTGGGCCCGGGCTGTGGCCTCTGCCTGGCGACTGAGGTGCAAAGAAGCATAGAGCTGGGAGGTCACCTCAGAGGACATTTGGTTCAGCCCAGGGGCTTCTGATGAATCACTCAGGAGATCCTCAGCCCGGAGGGGCGAACTGGGAACCGTAGCTGATGTCGCCATGGGTACAAGGAAGAGACAACTGCAGACAGTACAGCTGGGGACTTCTGGTCTTGCTGTAGGACAGGCCAGGGGGGGAAGTACACGGAAGAAGAAGATTTGGGAGAAAGGAGGAAGGCTCCAAGCCAAGGATCCTTGGTGACTAACGGTATGGAGGCTTTCTGGTTAGAGGAAAGGTTTCTGGCGGTTTCAGAGGCCATGGGAGAGGGCAAAAGCATTTCCTTCCACAGCTCCTGGGAACGGTGGAAAAGGAGGGTGCAGCAAGGAGTGGGTGGGGACAGAAGACGGAGGAGCGACAGCACCCCTGCAGTTCCCTGGAGGGCTGAAATCTGTAGATCAACTTCTGGCACCGGCCATCACCGGTCAACTGAACTCAACGTGCAAACTGAAATGGGCGCAAACCCAATAAGGGCCTAACTTCCCTCCAGCCGCCTTATGTGCCCCTCACCTGGTCCCGGTCTCAGAGAGGCAGGAACCTCAGGCTCCCCACCGGCTCACACCCCTCCGCCATGCACCTGTTCCACCCACGGTCAACCCTCTTGTATATCCCCTCCGACCCCTTCTGGCAAGAAAACCATAGTAAGTTTCCCTAGCCTCCCTCCCTCCTCGCTCTCCCGAGAGAAACTTCGTGAACACTCGGTCACCTCCTCAGACGTCTCTAAAAGGTACGCCGCCCTCAAGCCTAGCCTGCGATCCTCTACCCCGACCACCCCTCGCGACTCCTCGCCACACCGCCGGACCTCAGCCCCCTCAGTTTGCCACGGTGTCGACAAGGGGCTGTCCCCCTCCCCTGAGCCCCGGTCCGGGAGACCAAGGACGCCTCCACACCCACCCTCACCGCCCTCCCTGCGCTCAAAACCGTTGGCAGCCTCCCGCCCGCCGTCCGCAGCCCCGCCTCGCACGGCTTGATGACGTCGCCAGCCCAGAGCTCTTCCTCGCAGCGGCTCGGACGGCTTCTGGAGCCCGGGAGCCCAAGACGCGCGTGCGCGGCTCCCGCGGCACGGATTGGTTGGGGGAAGTATGGGGCGGAGTTAGCGCCCCGCCACTGCTGTGGGGGAGCGGGTTGGGCGGGGCGCCGCAAAAAACCGGAAGTATCTAGTGACGGGCACTGGGAGCAGTTCCGGTGAGTCCGGGGGAGGGGTTCCCGCCAGCTGGGGGAGTCAGGGGCCGAAAGCTGGAGCACCGGGGCTGTGGGCGGTCTCGGAGCGAGGCTTACATTCCCTGCCCTGCAGATGACTGTTCACAACCTGTACCTGTTTGACCGGAATGGAGTGTGTCTGCACTACAGCGAGTGGCACCGCAAGAAGCAAGCGGGGATCCCCAAAGAGGAGGTGACGAGAGGGCCCCGCGCAATCCGGGTGACCTCGCATCTCCAAACGCACACAGTCCCAGCCCAGCCCTTCCTCTCCAAACCCCGGCTGGTTCCCACCCCTACCCTGTCTCCTTCAACAACCGAGAGCTAACTAACTCTGTCCCTCTCCCCTAGGAGTACAAGCTGATGTACGGCATGCTCTTCTCTATCCGCTCCTTTGTCAGCAAGATGTCCCCGCTAGACATGTACGCTGAGTCAAAAAGGATGTTGAGGGAAGGAGGGCCAGTCTTGGAAATTTGGGAGTGCGGGAGACTTTGTGGAGTGGAAGAGACATTGGACCCCAAGAGAGGGGAAGGAGGCAGAGAGAGAGGGGCTGAGTCTGGAGCGAGAGTGCTGGGGCTGGCCAGAACGGGGGGGGGGGGGGGGGAGATCGGAAGGTAGAGAGGTTGCATGCAGGGGCCGAATTGAGGGGTGAAAATGGGAGGTGTCTTTACCAAATGAGGCTCCTACAAATGAGGTGTTTAGGGAGTCCACCTAGACGGGATCTAAAGTATCTCTTTGGGAGAGATTATGCTCCCATTCCTTAACGTCCTCATCATCTCTGCAGGAAGGACGGCTTCCTGGCCTTCCAAACTAGCCGTTACAAACTTCATTACTACGAGACTCCCACTGGGATCAAGGTTGTCATGAATACTGACTTGGGCGTCGGACCCATCCGAGATGTACTGCATCACATCTACAGTGCGGTCAGTGCCAGCCCCCTGGACCCTTCCTTCCCCTAAAGCTCCTCAACAGCCAGGGCCACTTAGAGCCTCAAGACTCCTTCCGCTTCCCTGCCCTAATCTTACTGTATCATAGCTCTGTTGAAGTCAGGAGTTTCCTGGGGACTCTTTATGTCCTTAAACACCACTGCTTTCTCCTCAGGAAGGGCTTGACTCCCAGCCCTTAATCCTTTTGCATTCACACACCCCTGAGGTTATATACTAGGTTTGGGGTTGAAAATAAGAAGTTACAAAGCCTGGCTCTAACACCCTTCCCCTCCATAGCTGTATGTGGAGCTGGTGGTGAAGAATCCCCTGTGCCCGCTGGGCCAAACTGTGCAAAGTGAGCTCTTCCGCTCCCGACTGGACTCCTACGTCCGCTCTCTGCCTTTCTTCTCTGCCCGGGCTGGCTGAAGGAAGCACTCTACCTCACCCGCCAGGAGACTCGCTGTCTGCCTGGGGCGCTGCCTAACCTGTTGGACGTGAGGGCTCCCACTGCATGCCCCTCTACCCCCTCAAGCTCCCCAGCAGCCCTCCCAGGACAGCAGCCTAAAGCCCTCCCTGGTGCCCTCCCGGCCCAGGCAAGAAGCCCGCAGGAATCCTCACACCTCCAAACCAGGCCCTCTCCAGTTTGATCTCCTACCTGATGCTGCAAAAGTACAGAATAAACTTTTGGTAACCCTTTGCAGCCTAAGCGTGTCAATTTGAGTGGTTGATTGGGGTCCTGCCCCACTCAGGAAGGCATTAACCAGGGTGGCCACATCCCCTGAGCCTGTAAAGAGGCTTTATCATGGGTTATGTCCAGATAAACCTGTTGTAAGTTTAAAATGTCGTAAGTTGAAAATGCATGTAATACACCTACCAAACATCATAACATAGCCTAGCCTACCTCACATGTGCTCAGAACACTTACATTCGTCTATGGTTGGGCAAAATTATCTAACACAAAGCCTATTTTATAATAGTGTTGAGTAGGTCATGTGATTTATTTATGTTTTTTATTTTATTTTTTTATTTATGTTTTTATTTTAGAGAGAGAGTGTAGGGGAGAGGGGGCAGAGGGAGAGAAAGAGAGACTCTTAAGCAGGCTCCACGCACAGCGTGGAGCTTGGCACGGAGCTCAATCCCACGACCCTGGGACCATGACCCGAGGTGAAATTGAGAGTTGGACTGCCGCTCAACAGACTGAACCACCCAGGTGCCTCTCATGTGATTTTCTGAATACTATACTGAAAGTAAAAAACAGCACGATGTAAGTGTATCAGTGGTTTACCCTTGTGATCCAGTGGCTGACTGGGAGCTGAGGCTTCCTGCCACAGCCCTGCATCAGGAGAGAGAGGTATCATACAGTATCTTACTAGCCCAGAAAGATCAAAATTCAGAGTATGATTTCTACTGAATGCCTATTGCTTTTGCACCATCATAAATTTAAAAAAATGTAAGTCAAACCAGAAGTGGGGACCATATGCGTTGACATTTGGGACTGGATAAACCCTTGTTAGGGGCAAAGGGGCTATCCTGCGTTTTGTCCTGGCCGCCACTCACTAGCTGCTGATAGCACATCCCCACCCCCCAACCCCAGGGGTGACTGTCAAAACTGTCGCCAGACCTCGCCACACGACCCCTAGGGGTAAAATCGCCCCCAACTGAGACCCCCTGTGCCGAGAAAGGCCGACCTGCTGCGGGTCCCAGGGGCTCCGATAACCAGCCTCCCTCCTCCCGGCTTCCACCCTCCTCCCGGCTTCGCTAAGCACACAGAACATTCAAGCTGCGGAGCCTCCGGAGGAGGGGCTTATGCAGATGAGCGGCGGGCTTGGCTGGGAGGCGGGCGGCTTTATGCAGATGAGGGGGCGGTGCCTGCATGTTGATGATCTGGGCCCGCTGCCGACGCTACTGGGAGCCTAGCGGTCCCGCTGCGGTTTGGGCTGGGGTGGCATCTCTCTTACACCGCCACCCCTCGTCCCTAGGTCCCCATCCTCCGAGGACCGCCCTCGACCTTTACCCTCACCCATTTCCCCCTCCTCCCCGCACCAGGGTCCCCGTATCTGAGTATCTGCACTCGTGCCGCCCCCCGCGTCTCTCCCCTCCCGCCGCAAACCCCGCGACCTCCAGCAGCCCGCCCCCGTGGGCCCGATCCCGCCCCGCGGCTCCCGCCGCAGCCTCCTCCGCCTTCCCGCTCTCCCAGGGCTCGCGCCACTACACCCCCCGGCCGTCCGCGCGCGGGCTTCCCTGTTCCCTCCTCCTCCCGCCCCCTCGGAGCCCCCTCCCCCGCCCTGGCCAGCAGACATGCAGGTGTCTATCGCTTGTACCGAGCAGAACCTTCGCAGCCGGAGCAGTGAGGACCGTCTGTGTGGACCCCGGCCGGGCCCCGGGGGCGGTAACGGCGGGCCGGTCGGCGGGGGGCATGGGAATCCTCCAGGGGGAGGAGGGTCGGTCCCTAAGGCCCGGGCCGCACTGGTGCCCCGACCCCCAGCGCCCGCGGGGGCCCTCCGAGAGAGCACCGGCCGAGGCACTGGCATGAAATACAGGTATGGGGGTGGCCGAGCAGCCCACCCCATCTGCTCCCCTTTTCGGACCCCTGAGATTTCCTGGGATGCCTCCAGGACCCGTCAATCTTCGCTAAGAAGATCCCAGTTCACTCCACCTCTTCTTCCCTTCACCGGGGCTCTCCCTTACTCGGTCCCTCTCTCTTTGTCTTCGTCGATCCCCTGAGTAGGAGAAAACCAACTTTACCAAGGCTGACCGGTCCTGTCAGAGCCAAGGGATGCCCCTGAACTCCCCTCCATACCCCCAGGAAGTCCAGGGATGCACGGATCTCCAGGCTGGGCCCCCTCTGGGATGGAGTGTCCTTGGGTCCGTGTCCTGGGAAGAGGGGGGAACGAAATGGCTTCTCACTCTGGCCTGCTCAGGATGCCTGACCCAGATACTACCCCCGCTCCCTGCCCCAAGGGCTGGGTCTCCTGCCACCTTTCTTGGTGGGGAGGAGAGTGGGGCTCTTGGAAGCATGGGGCACATCTCTCAACCCCTTGCTGAGGGACAGGGGCTTGGTGGAGAAGGTGGACTGAATCATAACCGACTTTCTCGGAGTCCCACTGGGCTCTCAGAACTTGCATTAGGGCAGAAGGGAGGGCCTCCTGCCTGGGAGTGAGCAGAGGTCACTGATCTGACCTGACTTTGTCACTTGAGCAATCTGATCTCCTCCATGTGTTGGCTTTGAGTGAGGAGGCCTTGGGAGGAGGGGGCTCTCTGGTTCAGAGACAAGACTCCACAAGCCAACAGCAGTGGAGAGAGGAAGAGACAGAGCTGGCCTTTCCTGTCATAGTCCACTCAGGTGGTCCCAGCTGCGTTTTGGGGGCCCATCAGCCTAGCCTGTCCAAGGACCCTTGCTTGCCTGAGTGCCTGAACTTGACTTGGTTTACCCCCTTCCACCTCAGTGTCTGCCCTGTGGTATAGCACCCTCTATCTAAGGGTCTGATTTCACCAACTGACCACAATCAGCCTGTCACATTCCTCCCAGCCTTGAACTCCACACATCCCAGAGATGCCTGGAACGCAGACAAGACCCCAGCAGAAGAAATACAAACCGGGCAGCACACCTCCCATGTGCTAGGAGGGACAGGGGCACTGGACATCGGCTCCAGAGTCATTTATTTGTTCACTTAGGCTTTGGGCATAGCACTGCCCATTGCGGTAGGCCCACTGGATCTAGTTCCTTTGGACTGAGATACCCTGAGGGCTTCTGATTCTGGAAGGAGAGGAGCTGGGGGCTGAGAATATATGCCCTTAATGGAGGCTCCACCCCTTCCTGCCACTTCTGTATCCTGCAGGAACCTGGGAAAGTCTGGTCTTCGAGTATCCTGTCTTGGCCTAGGTGAGTTCGAAAGAAGAGGAATGAAGGGAGGGGGCCTTCGTGGCTTGCCTCCCACCTGACTTCTCTCTTGCAGGCACCTGGGTCACATTTGGTTCTCAAATCTCGGATGAGGTATCAGTGATGGGACCTGGAAGCAGGGCCAGGGGCTGTGAGGGAGCCAGAAAAGAGGGATGTGGACGTGGAGAGCAGTTTGGACAACAACCAGGGAGAATGGCGGACCTGAGGCTGGGGACGGGGGGAGGATGTGGAGGCCAGGGCTGAGCTGCCATGGGCGGGAGTGCAGTGAGGGGGGTCCCTGAGGGCCAGTGGTTGGTCTTCATCTCTTTCTCTCACCTCCCTAGACAGCAGAGGACGTGCTGACAGTAGCCTATGAGCATGGTGTAAACCTGTTTGACACGGCTGAAGTGTACGCAGCGGGAAAGTAAGGACTGGGGTGAAAAAGCCAAGTTACCCTTGAAAGGCTAAGAGAACCTCGGGGATTCTTGTTTTCCCTCTGGGGGACCTTGGGAATTCTGTAACCGCGAACTTCCAACCTTTCAGCCAAGGGGCCCCCAAAGCACTATGGGAATTGTAGTCCCAACAAGTTCATCTTCAGCTTAGAGGGCGAAGGGCGTCCTGTGCAATAAAACTGAAAATAAAACCAACACCTATATCCTGGGCATCCGTTATATGCAATGATGCGAGGATTACAAAGCTGAATTTTCAAACATGCAGGCCACGCGTCACATACCCATGGCTTCACGCAGGGAGTAGCTAAACCCTAGATGAGCTCCCTCACCAACCCCCCCCCCCAATCCCCCTGGCCTCTTCTCCATCTGGCTAACTCTTCAGCTTATCTTCAAGACTTGGCCCAAATGTCAGCTCCTCCGAGAAGCCATTGTCCAGCTCCCCAAACTGGTCACCACTCACCTCAGGTCCCAAAGCCCTTTATACTGCCCTCTGATGCACAATCTGTCAATTACTGGTTTATGTAGCCATATTTGCTGCCCAGCTGGGAGGCTCCTCCTTCCGTGAAATTTGTCTTCCTCTTCCTCATGTCACCTCCGTAGCTACGCAGAGCCTAGCACAGAGCAGCCACTGCTTGTGGGATGACAACACACCCTCCTAAGGCTCACGGTTGAAATGGGTAAACCCAAGACACAGGGAGATACACAAGGTTACATAACAGGAAAACTAAAGTAATAGTCCGCCGAGACCATTTAAGACTTGTCACGTGTTGGTTAGCTCCTAATTAAGTGCCAAACAATTGGGTCAATAAAAGTTACGGAAAGTGACAAGAAGGGCTGACCGTAGACTGTGGCAATCAGAGAACACTTTCAATAAAATGAAGCGGAATCCAAGCTGAGCCTTGGACGCTGTGGGGGATTTTGCAGAGGATCGAAGAAGGGAGAGGGCAATGCAGATGATTGGAACCAGACCAGATGATGCGGTGTCTCCACCCACCCCCCACTTTACTACTCTGTTCTTCTCTCATCATCTTATTCTATCCCTTTGGCGCCTGGAACAGAACTTGGTACACAATTGATGTACAACTGATATCTGTGGTGTGAATGAAAGCTAAAGGACTATACCCCTCCTTCTGGGAGCCCCTCTTATTTTGTCCAGGATGGTCTGACAGCCTAATGGGCTCCTGGCTTATGGTCCACTTTACGAGAGAGGAAATCCATTGAAGGGAAAGGTCGGGAGGAGGGGAAGGAACTGACCCACGCTGGCGGGATCAGTGCTTCTGCATTGTCTTTCTTCTAGGGCTGAAAGAACCCTAGGCAACATCCTCAAGAGCAAAGGATGGAGGTGAGACCGTGTTTTGAGGGGTTGCTGGGGAAATGATCATCCAACATCCCTTCTCTTGCTTGTCTCTCTTTCGCTTTTTCCAGGAGATCAAGCTATGTCGTCACCACCAAGATTTTTTGGGGAGGACAGTAAGTGGCCGCCACACTCTATGTGGGGAGATCTACAGAGAATGCGTGCAGGTGCATGGGAGAGGTGTGGGTACAGCTGCCACCCCAGGTCTGCGTCCTGCCCGTGAGGACCCACGCCGTCCCAGTTTCTCATGGCACCAGGCCAGCCCCGGTCCCCTATCTTTGTCACACCTCATCTTTGACTTATCTTTTTCTGCAGGGCAGAGACCGAGCGAGGCCTGAGCCGCAAACACATCGTTGAGGGTGAGAGTTAGGGGCCGGGAATCTGCCGGGGCTGGGTACAGAAGCCAGAGGAGTTGGGAATGTCTTCCGAGACTCTGAGTTGGAGGCTTTGAGTAGGGGAGTGGGGAGCTAGGTGGCCATGGCAAGGGGGTAATGTCTAAATCCTTCGGGGAAACTGAGGCTGAAGTGCTTACCTTCCTCTCCTCACCCCTTCCCCAGGCCTGCAAGGATCCCTGGAGCGCCTCCAGTTGGGATACGTGGACATTGTCTTTGCCAACCGCTCAGACCCCAATAGTCCCATGGAGGGTAAAACCAGCACCCCAGCCCTGACGGTCCCCCAAAGCAGCACTTCCTCAAACTCTCAGCAGGAAGCCAGCCCCTGCTCAGGAGGCCTCCCAATCTGCACAGTGGAGGCTCAGACCCCAGGTCTTAGATGGGGAGGGAGGTGAAGTGCAGTTACCAACCTCTCTGATTACACAGAGATGCCTGGGGTCTTGGTGGGGTAAGCAGAGGGCTAGAGATATGGACTCCTGGATGCCAGGGGTCTGACGGTGAGATGCCCTCTCTCCCGTGTGCCTAGAGATCGTGCGGGCCATGACCTATGTCATTGACCAGGGCCTTGCCCTGTACTGGGGGACATCCCGATGGGGAGCTGCAGAAATCATGGTGAGCATGCCGCCCCGCTTACCTCCTCCCCCCGTCCCATGACTGGTTCCTACCTTTCACGCGGCTGTTCCAAACCCCACTCCACCGGGGGAGGGGGAGGGGAAACCCAGGGAAAAGAGTGCTCTGATCTCCATCTCTTCCCCACCCCAACCCAGGAGGCCTACTCCATGGCCAGACAGTTCAATCTGATCCCTCCAGTGTGTGAGCAAGCGGAGCACCGTCTGTTTCAGAGAGAGAAGGTGCAGCTGCAACTGCCAGAGCTCTACCACAAGATCGGTTCGCAGCCCCCCATCCCTGCCTGTCCCTTGGCCTAACCGTCACCTAGATCCCTTTCCCCACATCCAGTCCTCTTCCTCCTAGGTGTTGGCTCAGTCACCTTGTCCCCTTTGGCCTGTGGCCTCATCACGAGCAAGTATGATGGGCGAGTCCCAGATACCTGCAGGGCCATCAAGGTGAGATCTGGGGGCTCAGGACGGCAGGACTGGGCTATCTGGGCCGCTCTGGGTGGTGGGGGAGTGGCCTTTTGCCCACTGTCCCTGGCCCCCAGGGCTACCAGTGGCTCAAGGACAAAGCGCAGAGTGAGGACGGCAAGAAGCAACAAGCCAAAGTCATGGACCTTCTTCCCATCGCCCACCAGCTGGGCTGCACTGTGGCACAGCTTGCTATCGGTGAGACACTGCCAGCCCTGGACCCCGCCGGGCCTCACCTCCTGCCGGGAAACCCCCAAACCCAAGACTGGTTTGTCCCTAAGGAGGACCCTCTTCCCCAGAGACACTTCTGAGGTGTGTATGCCCGCTGCTCTCCATCAGTTCTCTTTCTTATCTCCTCTGGCCCCAGCGTGGTGTCTCCGCAGCGAGGGTGTCAGCTCGGTCTTGCTGGGGGTGTCAAGTGCAGAGCAGCTGATAGAACACCTGGGAGCCATACAGGTGAGCCGGGGCCTCAGAGGCAGAGCCCATCTCTGTCCCCTTCCCCGACAGTCAGGGCCTCGCTCGCTGTCCAACCCGTTATGGGCCTGGGAGCTCAACCACTACAGAGGCCCCACTTTGCAGAGGAGAGGCCCCAGAGGGACACAGGGCGAGGCAGGGGCGCGGCTGAGACTCTCTTCTCGCCACCTGGCCCCGCTGTGCTGCTCCTCTGGCCCTCGAACCGAACCGAACGCCCTTCAGCGCCCTCTCCACCACTGCCTCCCTACAGGTGCTGAGCCAGCTGACGCCGCAGACGGTGACGGAGATAGACGAGCTTCTGGGGAACAAACCGCATTCCAAGAAATAGTCCGTCGAGGGGCGCAGGCACCCACAGCGGGGCCGCCGCCCCCGCCGACGAGCGCCTCCCCGCAGCCTCCCCCCTCCCGCCCCGGATCCCTCCACGCCGCCGCGGCCGGCCGGAACGGGGAGGCCCCGCCCACTAATGAGGCCCGCCCACTAACGAGTCCCGGCTTCCAGTAGCGCTGCGCATGAACAAAGCCATATCTTTCCGCGGCGGGACTCGCCAGGGCAAGTAGTGCGCCGCCGCCCGCTGCGTCCTTCTAGGCCTTCCTGCTGACCCCGGGCATGAGTTACCGAGCCATCCCCTCTCTGCCACTTGGTCTCGCTCCCTTCTCTCTTCTCCTAGTCGCCGCCGAGGCCCGGGGGAGGAGGAGACACAAAAACAGGGCAGATCCCGGAGAGATGCAAATTACCTCAAAAGTGGCCCTTCATGTGTCATCAAGGGGTAATAACCTAATAAGAAGTGAGTTGTGATGTCATCTGGGACAAAGGAAATGGGGCTGTGACCGTATCTGGTACAAAGGCAGCCAGGCTGGTCCTGGCGGGAAGGAAATGATCATCTTTGAGGACGCTGCCTCCCAGCAGAAGATTGGGGGGGGGGGGCGGGGGAGGCTCAAAATTAGCACCAGGGTCAGTACTTTGCTCTTGCCGAGAGAGGGTCTGGTGGGAAATAACTGTGACATAGCACTGACGCAGATCAAAGGAAATTCGATGGCAGATGTATACATATAGCATGTGCTGGTGAAAGTGGTTGGGGGGGGCCCCTCCCAAAAGTTGGGCTGTGCTTTGCGGGGGGAGGGGGACATAGTGACAGCCTTTAGGTCACACAAAGACGTGGGGCTGACATAAAAATGTCCGGGGGTAGACTTTTGAGCCTTGAGCAGGATTTCCTACCCGGCAGTGGAGGCCTGCAGTCCTCCTTCTGGCAATAATCTTAAAGCAATAATGATGGCCCCTCATCTGTAAGACTTCCCAGGGAACTTGTAAATAAAATCTCAGCTTGATCCCCGCTCACGGTGTCTGGAATTGCAAGGGGTCTCAGTCTCAGATACCAGGCCTTCACCTAGCTCCCTGCCTTTAGAAGCTCCAATCAATATTAGCTTTCTCTCCACTGATCGAGACGTCACGTTGCTAGTCACTTCCAGTCACTGCCCTCACCGGGGACCCAGGCCCCAGTTTCTTTCCTTCCTTCCTTCAGTCTCTGCGTGCCTCAGAACCCAGCCTTCTGGCTTCATCGTTCTGTCGCCGCTCCCTCTGACACCCATGCCTTTGTGTTTAAAGCTAACATTAGCCACGCCCCTTGTGGATCTGATTTCCCTTTTCCTGATAGGCACACGTGTGCCAAGGAACTACCTGCGTGGTTTTCTCGTGGCCGAACGGCAGGGGCTCCTCTGAGGTTGAAGCTGTGGGATTTGGTGAAGAAACGGTGCAGTGGAAACCGGTCTACGGTTGAGATGATGCCGAGAAAGGGAGGGAAGGAGGCATCATAAAGGAAAAGAGAAAACCAGTGAAAGATCAGGGACGAGGGTGGCAGAAAAGCAAAGACTCAGATGGGATTATGTCAGACACTACCCCTTAATCCCCCCCCCCCCCACCCCAGGACTCTGATTTCCCCTGGGACACAAAGTGGGCGGAAAGTTCCACAGATCACAAGACAGGGGAGGAGGATGAGCTTTGCCTGCCTTAAAATACAACCTCACCATCTCCTCTCTACCCATCCTCGCCCCTTCCTGATCCTGAAGCGGAGGGAGCAGAGTAAAACCCATTTCCAAAAAGAGAAGAGTCAGCAGCCTCCCCTTTGCTGGCTAGCAACCAACCGGATCCACTAATGAATACTTACATCCACGCCTAACATCTCCCACTCATTTTGGAAGGCTGACGGAAACAAGGAGGTAAACCGTGTGACTAAACCGTGATGATTATTTATTCTGTAACAAACATGCAAGGATTTCTAAATTCAAAATAGTATTCTCTTTAAATGGTTACCTCGGAGGATTATCCATTTACTTTAATAATGTCTCCCCCAACCCTTGGTCAAAACATTAAAAAAAAAAAAACCCAAAAAACAAACAACCCTGTTAGGAATTCCCTCCAGAGGCTGTCTGTAAAGCGGTCATAAGAAATCCTCCTTTGTAGTCACACCTCATTTACTGTATTCATCACGCACCTTGTTCACTAATTTAACAAGTATTTATTTATCGAGTCCCACCGTGGTATGGCACAGGGATACAGCGGCAAACAAAATCAGACCCAGAACAGCCTGCATGGAGTTTACAGATGGGAGAGGCAGACCAGGCACCCCCCTCCAAAAACACAAATTTCTGTTGGTCAAAGTCCAGAGGCAAGCATGTGGTGTTACCTGAGGCTACAGTGGTATTTGACAAGGTGAGGAGGCTTTATGGGGCGCTGGAGGAGGAGTGCGGGTTACTCACATGCAAGTAAGAGGGTTAGGGGAATAGAAGCTTTCTGGCAGAAAGGAACATGCGTGCCAAAGGTCAAAACTAGAGGGTCTAAAGAGAGAATGGAAGCCAACTGAGAGACATGGGTGGGTTCCGGGCATACAGGACCTTATAGGGCACTTTGGAATATTCTTTTCATCCAAAGGGCAATAGGAAACCCTATCAGTTCTCCATTGACACACACAATTCACCCCCAAAATTAGCTTGGCTGTTTTCTCTGCTGTTTTCACCTGGGCTCACTCACGTGGCTGGATCCAGCTGGCAGGTCCGCTGAGTGGGGACATCAGATGGCTATTGGCTGGAACTCCTCGGTTCTCCACGCGGCCTCATCTGCTGGTAAATTCCCTTACATAACAGACTCAGGTCAGCGCGAGGGGATGACGGCAGAGGCCCAAGGCCTCTGAAGGACCACGACATCACTTCTGCCACGTTCTGTCGGTCAAAGTGAGTCACAAGGTGAGCCCAGATTCAAGGGCTAGGGGAACAGACTCCCGTTCCTGCCGGGAGAAGCAGCAGAGTCACGTGACATAGGAACGTGCGGCCACTAAGTTATCACGACATTAAAAGGTTTTGAGAAGGAATGGAAGTGGTGCGTGGTTAGGACCTGGTTGGGCTTGAGATCTGGGAAGGTCACTGTAAGCCATGTAGGGAGAAGCCTGGAGAAGGCCAGAATGACTGTGGACAGACTGGCCAAGAGGCTCCTCCCAGGGTCTGGGCAAGAGTCGAGGGTAGCTGAGACTGCTGCGGTGTTCCATAGGCGGGGAAAAAGTAGGTGGGTCAGGGAGACATTTAGGAGGCAAGACTAACAGGGCTATAGGGTTTGCTGAGAAGTTGCCAAAGGAAGGTGAAAGGAAGTGGGTGGGGTCAAGGAAGACACCTGGGTTTCTGGAGCTGGGTAAAGAAAGAGGTGGGAAACACTGGAAGAGGTGCTGATTTGGACAAGGAAAGCACCACTTTGGGTTTTTGAAGACAAATGAGAAAGGAAAGGTCTGGGAGCTTAGAGTCTAAGGCTTTGGCTATCAAACACTTCGCAATCATTTATATAATCACATCTGCCCGAAATGGTCACGTCATGATCTCACTGCTCGTGGGTTGGAGCCCCGTGTCGGGCTCTGTGCGGACAGCTCGGAGCCCGGAGCCTGCTTCGGGTTCTGTGTCTCCCTCTCTCTCTGCCCTTCCCCTGCTCATGCCCTGTCTCTCTCTCTCTCTCTCAAATATAAAACATTTAAAAAATTTAAAAAAAAAATCAGCTCTACATTGTCTGTCAAAACTAGCAAATGCCATAGGCGTATAGCAGCCCCCCCCCCCCCCACCTGTATTGATCAAAAGAGATGGGTGTTGAAGATGTTGGGTATTGAGAAGCCAACACAACATAGGCTGGGGGCACGGGATAAAAATAGTTAACACATGGTGTTTCCTGTGGGCCAGGCCCGGTTCCAAGCACCTTACATATACAAATTCATCACTATTCTTATCCACATCTTAACAGACGAGGAGAGCAATCAGCCCAGAGACGCTAAGTAACTTGCTCAAAGTGTCACAACTCCTAAGTGCTGCAAGGTAGGATCTGAACTCAAGCCAGCTGGCCTTAGCGTCTGTGCTATTACCTTCCAAGCAAAACCTGAACGGTAGGGCCAGGAGAGGAGGGCCAGGAGGCAGCTGGGGTGGGTGTGGTCCCAGGAGGGAATGTGGGCTGTGTTATGTCTTGTTTACCTGTGGGGGGAAGTCAGACCCCTGAGTCAGAACTCATGCTGGGCTGCTTTGCTGAAACCATCACGGTGTGTGGGTGTCCAGGCCTGGCTCCTCAGGAAGGAAAGGATTCCCAGCATTCCTAGGAGGAAGGCCATCCATGGTCCCGGCATCTAGGTGCCTCCTTAAGTTGAGATGTCAGCTGAGAGGTGAGCAGTTTGAAGAGAATGAGTTTGGGAGGCCAGCCTTACAAGAACACAGGCAGGACGCGCATAATAAAGTGAGTTGAGGGCGGCATCCGTGCAGATTGTCCAGGAGCCCCCTAAAGACTGGGCAGAATGGGCAGTGTCATGGACTTAGGCAGGAAGTCCGGGTGGGGTAGTGAACGAGCCTGAGCAACTGAACCAACAGGCCCAGCGGGCAGCAGAGACCGGGGCAGCGCCCTGGGCCAGCGGCCGAGGGCCAGCGCCGCAAGGGGCCTAGAGATCTGCACACAGAATTGAGGGGGCGCTGGCTTAGTGTTGGGGGACGAAGGAAGGCGCGGGGAGAGCGGGGTGGTGTGCCTCCCGCCCGCCCAGTCCCCGCGCCACCCGGGGCGTCACCTACCTACCCCGCTCGGCCGTCACCTGCATTCCCGGCTTCGCGCCTCCACCGCCCCCACGCGTGCCGCAGCGGGGAGCGACCCAACCACCGGGGTGACGCCTCGAGGGGCGGGGTGTCGCTATTAAAACCGGCGAGAGGCCGCGGCGCCCGCCCCAGGAGTCGACCCAGGCCACTAGGAGGGCCTGTTCGTCCAGCCCACGGAGCCGGCCGAGCCTGAGAAGCCCTCGAGTCCTCGGCGGACACCATGCAGCTCCTGGCGAGGGTGCCGTCCCTTCCGGAGCGTGGCGAGCTGGACTGCAGCATCTGCTACCGGCCCTTCAACCTCGCGGGCCGCGCGCCCCGCCGCCTGCCCGGCACAGCGCGCGCCCGCTGCGGCCACACG